CCGGGGACGGAACACTGATACATTGGGGTTTGGAACGTTGGCCCGGGAGCTTGTTCCATTCTCTTGCAGTGGATATGGGAGGTGCCGTTAGACACGCCTTCCTCGTACACAGCGCGTAATCGCTGCCTGCACTCTCCAGAGAAGGGGAGGTGGAGAATCGCTGTGACGACGGAGATACACACATATATATTAATAGAGTAGGATAGGGATAAACAAGGGAAACGGGGAACGAAGGAAGCTTCAGCAAGGCGGATGAACCGAGCCCGGAGCTGCATTAACCCCGGAACATGCCGAACCAGAAGAACGCCAAGGGCAGGAAAAACAAGCGCACCAACAGCAGCGGAGACGAGCAGGAGGCTGCGGCCGGAGCTGCCTCCTTGACGGCCGGAACCGGAGGGGCAGGATCGGCGGCCGGAGGCGCTGCATCGGGCCAGTCCGAGACAGGCAACGATCACGGTGAGCGGGCAGGATTTAACAACAAAACCCCCTTTAAACCATTGCAAGTCCTACAGGTCGAAGCCCTACACAGTATTGCAAAACCTGTCGCTTTTCATTTTACAGCTGAGCAGGAAGCTTTGTTTTTGCAAAAGTACTTTCTGTTTTGATGGAAAATATGCAAAGTGAAGCTTGTTTAAAAAAAAAACAGACGAAAATGATTTCTGATAACAGTGTTTCAGTTCCGTCCGATGCCAGTCCGGTTAGGGGCCTCTGACAGTGTTTGATATTTAAATTGGTTAGTGATTAGTCTCCTCAACAAAAACAGCATCCCATCCACTCTCCTGTTTATGCGATTGAGAGAGATTGGCCAATGAATCTATGGGCAGAATGTGTATCTTAACCAGTTGCAAGTATTTCCTCTTTAGCCCACTTTTTGCTAGTAAGATTCAAGAAAAATGACTGCCTTTTTTTCTGCCCCAAAGGCGGGGTTTCTATTGGCATGAACCAGAATGGCCACTGAATGATCGGATGAGCTGTTCCACAACGGGAGCTAGCACCATGTGGTGTGACAGCCACACTGTAGAGAAGGGGAGTTCACGGAGTAGAAGGGACCTCAGTAACACTTCTGTTTTTCTAACTTGGGATAAGTAATTGTGGCAAGCCTACTGCTTATTCTTGCTTTGGGGGCTGTGGTAAGATCAGCAACTTGGGTTACAAACTTTCCTGTTAATGACATATCCTTGCAGGTAGTTCAGCTTGAACTGAAACAAAAAACCCTTGAGTGGACATCCTTTTCACTCAGCAGGGAGACTAGCTGCCAGTCGTAAAATATGCAGTTTAATGCAGTGGGAAAGAAGATTTGCATTTGCATAGCGTATTTCACAACTTTCAGAAAGCCCCAAAGTACTTTGCAGCCGTTGAAGACTCTGTGCAGTGACATCAACAACGGTAAAGTTCTGAGGGGGCTTGAGAGGCTAGATACTGAAACGGTGTTTTATAGAATCATAGAATTTTACAGTACAGAAGAAGGTCTTTCGACCCACCACATCTGTACCAGCTCCTGAAAGGTCTATACAGCCAGTCCCACTCTCCAGTCTTATCTCTGTAGCCCTCTAATTTCATTTGCAAATATATATCCTGCTCTCTTTTGAAATCTCCTATGGAATCTGCCTCCACCACTCTCCCAGGGCAGCGCATTCCAAATCCTAACAACTCTGAGTAAAATTTCTCCTCATCTCACTCCTAGCTCTCCTGCTGACAGTCTTCAAAACTGTGACCTGTAGCTACTGACACAGCAACTAGTGGAAACAGAATGTCCTTCTTTACTCTGTCAAAATTGTTCACAATTTTCTCTGTGGGGAGCCTAAAACCAAACAGTCAGAATGTTGGGGGGGGGGGGGGGGAGGGGTAACATCTTTTAAATTGGAGATTGGAATTTTTTTCCTCTCATGGGGCAGTTGCTATTTAGAATTCTCATCTGCTGAGAACGATGGATTGGAGGGTATTGTGTATATATTGAAGACTGAGAGATTGTTTGACTGAGTCGAGGGTAATGGGGCACAGTTGGGACAAGGGCAGCAGATAAATGGGAACACCACCACTGGCAAGTTCCCCTCCAAGCCACTCACCATCCTGACTTGGAAATATATCGTCATTCCTTCACTGTTGCTGGGTCAAAATCCTGAACTCCCTCCCAAGTGGCATTTCGGTTCTACCTACAACACATGGACTGTAATGATTCAAGAAGGCAGGGCAACTAGGGATGGGCAATAAAGGCTGAGCAGCCAGTAATGTCCACATCCCACAAATGAATAAATAAAAAAAAGTGAAGTTAAGGCCAAAATCAAATGCCACAATGTTATTGAATGGCACAGTAGGCTTGAGGGGCTGAATGGCCTCCTCCTGCTCCTAATACATATTAGCATCTCTAAAAGTTTGTTACCAAGCCACGCAAGGTGCCATTAGAGACGAGTGACTGAGAGCTTGGTCAGAAGCAAGTTAAAGGAGGCAAGAGAGATGGCGATTGTTTCCTGGGGAAAATCTTATTGAAGTGTATAAAATGAGTTGTCTAGACAGAGTGGTGAGGGGTCCATTGCGGTGGAGGAAGTGGTCAACAGGACCAAAGCTGGGGGTGGGAGAGGTGTTGAGGTAAGAGAGAGATGTTTTGGATGAGAGATTTGGGTGCGATTTGAGGGGAAATATTTTCACCCAGAGGGCGGTGGCAATCTGGTACTCGCTGCCTAAAAGGGTGGTAGAGGCCTGTGCACTCAATGTGCCCTATCCTACGGTGGCTACAGACCAAGAGCTGGGAAGAGAGATTAGGCTGGATGGCTCCTTGTCAGTCAGCACAGATAAGATGGGCCAAGTGGCCTCCTTCCCAGTTGTAAACATCTGAGTTTGTAAATTCAAGAGTCTGCTCAGTTGCGAGGGAAGTTGTATACAAAAGCAGGAAGGTTATGCTTCAATTATACAGCACTCTGGTGTGACCGCATCTGGAGTACTGTGTATGGAATTGGTCACCTTATTTAAGGAAAGATCCGAATGCATTGGAAACAGTTCAGAGGTTTACCAGATTAATAACTGGGATGGGTGGATTACGCTGTGGAGAAAGGTTGGTTTATATCTATGGAGTTTAAAAGAGTGATAGGCGAATTGATTGAAACTACAAAATCCTAAAGGTTCTTGACAGTGTCTGTGCAGAGAGGATGTTTCTTCTTGACGGAGAATCTAGAATTAGGGGGTCACTATTTAAAATTAAGAACATGAACTTTTTTTTCTCAGAGGGTAATGAGTTTTTGGACCACTCTTCCCTGAAAGGCAGGAAAAGCAGAGTCCTTGAATACTTCTAAGGCAGAGTAGATAAATTCTTGGTAAGCAAGGTGGGTTGAAAGGCTATTAGTGGGGTATGTAAGGATGTGGAGTAATTAGATCAGCCATGGTTGATCTAATGGCAGAGGGGCCTACTGCTGCTCCCAATTCAGATGCTTGTATGGCTGTCGTACGATTAGGCCACGATTGCTGAGATCTGTCTGGAAAGCTTTCAGAATTCTTTGCCGCTTCCTATGGGAGTTGCTTTGTCACCGTGACATTCCGTATCTGTGGGAAGCTATGTTTGCCTTGCTTGTGTTTGAATCCAGTAGCGAGTAGCTGAGAGAAGCTGGAAGTGGGGCCATTAGTTCTCCTCGGAAAGAGCTGCGAGTTGGACAAGGGCCAGTTGCCTATGGACTGGCTGTCAGTGTGGTCAGTGCTGGTCAACCCTAACCTGCAGCTCACACTTGTCTGACTGTGCCTTCCCATTGGGACTCAGGGTGTTCTGCTTTTTCTGCACACATTGTCACTGCACATTGCTGTTGGGGAAATACCCAACTGGGAGGGTGCAACACAGTTAGTGAGAAGCTTTGCACAGTCTGTAGGAACCCTTGGTCACTTTCACAATTGTGAGCCTGCACCATTGAACACTTTTGGAATCGTAGAGAGTGGAATACGTCCAGTCTAGGTTCTATCACAGAACAGTCCAGTCAGCGACACTGTCTGGTTTGTTCCCCAGTTTTTGCAGCTTTGTTCCTCTTGTGGATATACCTAATTCTCCTTTTGAAGGCTTCTATTGAATATAACATAACTAGAAGCAGGAGGGGCCATTCAGCCCCTCAAGCCTGGTCCGCCAGTCGATACAATAATGGCTGATCTCATCTTGGCCTCAACTCCACTTCCCTGCCTGCTCTCCATAACCCTTCAACCGCTAAAAATCTGTCTAACTCTTCCTTAAATTTACTCAATGGCCCAGCATCCACCGCACTCTGGGGGAGTGAATTCCACAGATTCACAATCCCTTGCGAGAAGTAATTTCTCCTCATTGCCGTTTTAGATCTGCTACCCCTTATCTTAAAACTATGATCCGCTTGTTCTAGATTGCCCCACATGAGGAAACGTCCTCTTTCCTTCTACTCTGTCAATCCCCCTTTAGCATCTTTTTTACCTCAATTTGATCTCTTCATTCTTCTAAAGTGCTATAGATCCAAACTGCTCAATCTCGCCTCAGAAGACAAACCCCTCATCTCTGGAATTACCTCATTGAACCTCCTCTGAACTGCCTTCAATGCAACTACATCCCTCCTCAGGTAATGCAACCAAATGGTATTGCAGTGCTCCAGGTACAGTCTCACTAATGCCTTGAACAGTTGCATCACCATTTCCCTACTCTTATAATCTTAGGCAATAAATGTCAAAATTTCACTTGCCTTCCTTTGGGGCAGCACGGTGGCTCAGTGGTTAGCACTGCTGCCTCAGCGCCAGGGACCCAGGTTCGATCCCACCCTTGGGTGACTGTCTGTGTGGAGTTTGCACGTTCTCCCCCTGTTTGCGTGGGTTTCCTCCGGGTGTTCTGGTTTCCTCCCACAGTCCAAAGATGTGCAGGTTAGGGTGGATTGGCCGTACAAAATTGCCCCATAGTGACCAGGGATGTGCGCAGGTTAGGTGGATTGGCCATGGGAAATGTAGGGTTACAGGGGTAGTGGCGTGGATATGGGTGGGATGCTCTACAGAACGTCAGTGTGACCATGATGGGCTGAATGGCCTACTTCCACACGATTCCTTATTAACTGTTGCACCTACATACTAGTCAGTGTTCTGCAATTTATGCACAAAACTGAAGCCACTGCTCCACTCAGAGAACATGCTGCAAATTCTGACATTAGTGACAGGAGGATCACACAATCACACAATCAGCTTAAGCCTTTATCCAGCTACTGAAAACAGTTTCTCCCTTTACTGTCTCGGACACCTTTGTCATTTTGAAGCTCCTTCTCATCTCTTCAATGCCTTTTCTGCTCGAATACTAGCCCTGTAACTTTTATTTACCCCTTCCCTGTTCTCATTCCCTCCTTCCTTAGGTACGGTGCTGGAGGACTGTGTACAGTTGTGGGTGCCACATTATAGGAAGAATGTGAACGCATCAGAGAGAGTGCAGAAGCAATTTACCAGAATGGTTCCAGGGATGAGGAACTTCAGTGATGCGGACAGACTGAAGAAGTTGAGACTGTTTTCCCTTGGAGTGAAGAAAGCTGAGAGGAGATTTTCAAAATCTTGAGTGGGCTGGATAGAGTAGATAGGGAGAATCTCCTCCTGCTCTTAAAAGGAGTAAAACGGAGAGATCATAGATTTAAAGTGATTTGCAAAAAAAAAGTTGAGGAAAAGCTTTTTCGCTCAAATGAGTAGTTAGGGTCTAGAGTGCACTGCCTGGAAATGCATTGGAGGCAGGTTCAATTGAGGAACTCAAGAGGGGCATTGGCTGATTATTTGGATTAAAATAATGTGTAAGGGTATGGGAGAAAGCAAGAGCCTAGCACTAGATAATGATGTCCGTTGAAGGGGCACAGATGCGATGCGCCAAATGGCTTCCTTCCGTGCTGTAACACTTCCTTGATTCTGTGAAACAAGAACTGAAATTGCTGGAGAAACTCAGCAGATCGGGCAGCATCTGCAGAGGGAAAGCAGAGTTAACATTTCGAGTCCAGAACCCCCTTCGTCAGTACAAGGGTCACTTGACTGGTAGCATGAACTCTGCTTTCTCTCTCCACAGATGTTGCCAGACTTGCTAAGTTTCTCCAGCAGTTTCTGTTTTTGTTTCAGATTTCCAATATCCACAGTTCTTTTGTTTTATTTTGCAATTCTGTGAACTTGGCTTTGGAGTGTCCTGACATTGAGAAATTATATGAAAATGAGCACAAGTATAGCAAACTTTTTATGAACCAGCACCTATGGGACCAGGAATGTACCAATTGATCAAATGTTCTGGTGTGATCAAGAAATTCACATAATCAACGTAAAAACACACACTAAGTAAAAGGAATGTAATGCAGGGGGTATACACATCACTGATGTACTTTATTTACAGCATAAATCACTGAAATAATAATGCAACTTTGCCTTAAATAAAACTTACTGGCAGAGACCCTTCTCACTTGCACACTCACTGAGGTATTTGAGGAGAAATTGACTCAAAACTGAATCAACACGAAACTGATATTTTGTGTGGCCATTCATAGAGTCCTAGAGAAGTACAGCATGGCGTCAGATCCTTCAATCCAACTCATCCATGCTGACCAAATATCCTAAACTAATCTAGTTCCATTTGCCAGAATTTGGCCCATGATCCTGTAAACCCTTCCTATTCATATACCCACGCAGATGCCTTTTAAATATTGTAATTGTACCAGCTTCCACCACTTCCTCTGGCAGCTCATTCCATACCCCACCACCCTCAGTGTGAAAAAGTTGCCCCTTAGGTCCGTTTGAAATCTTTCCCCTTTTACCTTAAACCTATGCCCTTTAGTTTTGGATTCCCCTACCCTGGGGAAAAGAGCTTGCCTATTCACCCTATGTGTGCCCTTCATGATTTTATAAACCTCCATAAGGTCACCCCTCGGCCTCCAGCACCCCAGGGAAAATAGCCCCAGCCTATTCAGCCTCTCCCTACAGCTCAAACCCTCTAGTCCAGGCAATATCCTTGTAAATCTTTTCTGAATCCTTTCAAGTTTCACAACATCTTTCCTGTAGCAGGGAGACCAGAATTGCACACAATATTCCAAAAGTGGCCTAACCAATGCCATTGGATTGAACAACACAACACTGAGGTAAGTAAATTACACTCCAATAATTGGACACAATAATACAGTAAACTTTGTGATATTTGAGGTGGAAAAATTTTGCCAGTTTATGGAGGGTGCTGGTTAAAACACAGTTTGCTGAACTTTGGTCTTTAGCTCTTGGGACCCTGATACGTGAGCCTTTATAGTGTGTTGTTCTATAATGCAGCACCCTCCTCCTTCAGCTGCAGACCCAGTAATGAGTTTTCGCCCGTTGTTGTTCCACAGAAGCTCCGTGCGCCACGCCACTGGTGTGCAGCTTCGGTCGGCCGGTTGATCTGGAGAAGGACGATTACCAGCGTGTGGTCTGCAACAACGAGCACTGCCCCTTCGGTAACTGGATGCACCTGCAGTGTTTCTACGAGTGGGAGAGCAGCATCCTGGTGCAGTTCAACTGCATTGGCCGTGCCCGCAGCTGGAATGAGAAGCAGTGTCGCCAGAACATGTGGACCAAGAAGGGCTACGACCTGGCCTTCCGCTTCTGCTCCTGCCGCTGCGGACAGGGCCACCTGAAAAAGGACGTGGACTGGTACCAGGCTCGGCGGAGGCAGGACGAAAAGAAGAAGAAGGTGAGCTCCATGGGTGCCAAGGCTGGCGAGCCACCTCCCGAGGAGGGTAAGAAATGCAAACTCAATCGGGCGCCCCGCTCCCACGATGCTCAGCGCCGGCACTCGGCAGACCGGCAGAACTCTCAGGAGAAAGGGGTGGGCAGCAACCAGGCTCCCGGGCACAAGGACCACTTCAGGTCGCCGTGCGGCTCACCGCCAGAGCCGTCCCCTCCGCCCTCGGCTCACCCCTACCTCTCCTTCTCCACCGGCATGCCCCGCGGCTCCCGGCACCTCGGCGAGTTCCTCAAGACGGCGCTGCACGGGGGCGACGCCTGCCGTAAGTTGATGCCCAGCGGCGGGCGCTACGGCCAGCAAGAGCTGGGACCCTCAGCCCCTCGCCTGGGCGCCCTGGACTCTCCGGTGCAGTTTCTGCGCCGCCTGGACCTGTCTGAGCTGCTCACTCACGTGCCCAAGCACAAGATGAACACGTACCACGTGCGCATGGAGGATGATGCCCAGGTGGGCCAGGGCGAAGAGCTGAGGAAGTTTATCCTGGCGGCACTCAGCGCCAGTCAGAGGAACGTGGTGAACTGCGCGCTGTGCCACAAGGTCCTCCCAGTCTTTGAACTCTTCCCGCTGGTGGACGGGACTCTGTTTCTCAGCCCTTCCAGACACGACGAGATAGAGTATGATGTCCCCTGTCACCTCCAAGGTAGGTCACGGTGACCTGTTCATTTCATTTCGTACAGAACCTTCCATTGCAATGAGCACAGAAACTTATTCAGAACCTGAAGAAGTTTACATCCAGGCTTGAGCTATGTTCAGTGGGCTCTGTCTCTGCTGCTGTTTCTAAACAAAAAACCCAGTCATGGTGTTAATAGACAGTGTGTCTAAGAAATTACCTTTGTCTTACAGTCTTTGTAAAAAATTAATTTATGGGATAGACCAGCGTTTATTGCCCAGAGGGCAGTTAAGAGTCAATGATATTGCTGTGGGTCTGGAGTCACGTAGGCCATACCAGGTAAGGATGGCACTTTCCTTCCCCAAAGGACATTAGTGAACCAGATGGGATATTCCTGACAATTGGCAATGGATTCATAATTCTTATTAACCCTCAATTCCAGATATTTATAAAGTTCAAATTCTACCATCTGCCATGGTGGGATTCAAACCCAGGTCCCCAGGACATTACCTGGGTCTCTGGTTTAACAGCCCAGTGATAATACCACTAAGGCCATCGGCTCCCCATTGTGATGAGTCTCTAACACAAGATTGCTCCTTTTCAAAAACTCTCCCTCGCTCCACGTCCTCCAAAAACAAGAACAGGGTGATAATGGAACTGCTTTATCACCAGAATTGAGACAATCTGATCAGTTAATGTTTCAGATCCAGTGACCCTTCAGAACCTGAAGAAGGGTCACTGGATCTGAAGCGTTAACTCTGTTTCTCTCTGTACAAATGGCTGCCAGACCTGCTGAGTTTTTCCAGCATTCTCTGTGCTTGGTTCAGCTTTCCAGCATCTGCAGTTTTTTGTATTCTTTTTTGTTTAACACCTATTGATCTAGCCCCTTTAATACAATAAAATGGCCCAAGGTGTTAAACACAACCACCTCAAACAAAATTTGACACTGAGCCACGTGAAGGGATTTTTAAAATTATTCATGGGATTGTAGGCATCACTGCCCAGTCCCTAATCACCTACAGGAAGCGGTGGTGAGCTCCTTGAACCTCCTTGAACCATTGCAGGTCTTGAGATGTAGTGGCGCTGATAGTCCCACTAGGGAGGGCTTTCCAGGATTTTGACCCAGCGACAGTGAAGAAATGACAGTGCATTTCCAAGTCAGGATGGTGAGGGGCTTGGAGGGGAACTTGTAGGTAGTGGTGTTTGCCTGTATCTGCTGCTTTTGTCCTTCTAGTTACAAGTGGTCGTGAGTTTGGAAGATGCAGTCTAAGGGGCCTTGGTGAATTTCTGCAGTGCTTCTTATGGATAGTACACAGCTCTGTTACTGAGCGTCGGTGGTGGAGGGAGTGGATGCTTGTGGATGTGGTGCCAATCAAGTGGGCTGCTTTGTCCTGGATGGACTTGAACTTTTTGAGTGCTGTTAGAGCTGCAGCCATCCAGGCGAGTGGGGAGTATTCCATCACACTCCTAGCCTTTGCCTCCTAGATGGTGGACAGGCTTTGGGGAGTCAGGAGGTGAGTTACTCAACACAGAATTCCTAGCCTCTGACCTGCTGTTGTGCCTACTGGCATGAAGCAGAGAGAGACTTGTAAACAGAGAGGGGGTGCAAGTGTGTAGCTTTACTGGAACACTTTGGCTAAGGACGCATGTAGTTCTGGACCATAAGTCTTCAGTACTATTGCTGGAATGTTGTGAGCGTCCATAACCTTTGTGCTGTCCAGTGCCTTTATCGCCATCTCTTGATATCACATGGAACGTGTTGAGTTATAGGACAAATATTCAGACAAATGACAAAAAGAATGGTCAGAGAGGAAGATTTTTTGCCTTTTAAAGTATTCCAGAGTTTAGGGTTCAGGCACTGAAGATACAGCTGTCAGTGATGGAGCAATTTTAAAATCTGGGATGTTCTAGAGGCCAGAATTGGAGGAAATGCAGAGGTCTCGAGCTGGAATAGATTACAGGGTTGGGGAGGGCCGAGGCCATGGAAGGATTTGAAAACCAGAAGAATTTTAAAATTGAGGCATTGCTGGACCAGGAGCCAATGCAGTTGAACTGAGAAGACACTGCACTCTTGCAGTGAAACTGCACTGTTTAACTCCACTTCTCCACAACATGCATTGCTCCTTAATGTTACTGAAACTGATTCCAAGCAAATCCCAAATTGTCACGCTATAGTGGTTATATTGTGGAACTAATAATCTAAAGATTAACTGTTCAAGTTTCCCACCGCGGGGAACCTTGCTATAACTTTTCCGGAAATTTAAAAAAAAGCTGCCCTCGGAAAATTCTGGGAAATTGTCGATTGTTGTAAAATCCGAGGGGAAACCTGGTGTTTGCACCAATCCGCTAATGTGCGACTGCAGTTCAAGAACATGTCTTTTAGTAGGATCCTGACCACAGTGTCAGAGTAAAGATTTTGCCCGTTCAGTTCTGAACAGGAATTCTCCCCTAGAGAGGCATTCAGAAATCTTTGGAACTCTCTACCTTCAAAGAGTTGTAGAGGCTCAGTCACCAAACGTAGTCACGAGAGAGATTGACTGATTTTTGGCCTTTAGTGGATCTGGGGCATAGAATGGAAGTATGTTACCAATAAAGAAGAGGGACCATTATTATTGTCACTAACTGAGCAGAGACGAGGGATCAAACGGCCTGGTCCAGCTCAGATTTCTGACGTTAGAGTCATAGAGACCTACAGCACAGAAAGAGGCCCTTCGGCCCATTGTGTCCTTACTGCTCAAAGACAACCACCTAGCTATTCTAAGATCCCATTTTCCAGCAGTTGGCCCATAGCCTTGTATACCTTGGCACAGCTGTTATGCAGAGTCACCGGACTGTAAATGTTAACTGTTTTCTTTTCACGGATGCTGCCAAACCTGCTGAGTTTCTCCAGCAATTTCAGTATTGGTTTGCAGTTCTTTTGTTTCGTTCCAGTCTGTCCGATCTCTCTCCATAACCGAAACCCTCGAGCCCAGGCAACATCCTGGTAAATCTCCCTCTGCACCCTCTCCAGTGCTATTGCATCCCTCCTATAATATGGATTCCAGAACTGCACACAATACGTTGGCTGTGGACTAACCAATGTTTTATACAGTTCCAGCATTGCCTACCTGCTGTTACACTGTATCATGTTAATGACCCTCTGAAATGGCCAAGGCAACCAAACAGTTTGTCATATTCTCCACCACTTGCCCAGGGCAGTGAGGAATGGGCAGCACATGCCAACTCTCCCAGGAATGAACACATCGTGACACCATTCTCCTTAAGGGGTTGACAGCTAGGTATCACTCTCAGATATCAGTAGCACACTTCAGCTGGTTTACCTGGACACTTGTAATGAGTATCATACCCTGATTCTGTTTTCCATTTAACCAGTGAGTAATACACAGTGTGCATTGCATTGAAGTCACTTCTTAGGATTCTGGATGAGTATTTTATGCACGGTGGCTCAGTTGTTAGCACTGCTGCCTCAGGGACCTGGGTCTGATTCCAGCCTCAGGTGACAGTCTGTATGGAGTTTGCATGTTCTTCCTGTGTCTGCGTGGGTTTCCTTCAGATGCTGCGGTTTCCTCACAATCCAATTGGGGGCGCGCAGACTGGGTGGGTTAGCCATGGTAAATTGTCCATAACGCCCAGTGATGTGTAGGGCTAGCCATGGTAAATGTGGGGTCATGGGGGTAGTAGGGGTTGGGGGGATTTGGGGTCAGGGTGGGATACTCTTTGGAGGGTCAGTGTGGATGGAAATTGGGGGTGGACAGATGTTGAGATTTGAAGGAGCAACGATGCCTTAGGGCGATGAGTGTTGCTGGGCTGGAGGATTCTGCTTCCACTTCAATGCACCATCCTGCTCCCTGGTCAACATCTCTGTCTCCGGCTTGCTACAGTGTTCCAGTGAAGCCCAACGCAAGCTGGAGGAACAACACCTCATTTTCCGCTTGGGGACCCTACAGCCCTCCGGACTCAATATTGAGTTCAATAATTTTAGGGCCTAAAGTCTCCCATGTCCC